AGCCACTAATTTCCTCTCTTTCACTCCCCTCCAGTCTCATTTGTGACTCCAGATCTGATTTCAGCTTCAAGATGGTACAATATTTTGTCAGAAACTGAAGGGAAACTGTTTCCTAAGGAAAAATGACTAGAGCTTAGACCTGGGAGAACCCCACCCCCTCTGTGAGGAGAGGCAGATGTGGATGGCTGCAGACAACAGGCCTGGATAAAGACATCCTTTCTGTTGGCTCTAGGGAGGCAGGACATCTAAACCTTGACCTTCTAAGCCAAAGAGGGACAAATCTTTGGGCTCAGGGGCAGGAATGAGTAACCCTCAAAGGCAAGTTGCATCCTACCACCACTCTGCAGAAGGACTTTTTTAGTTAATCTGATGCAGAGCCTTCTGGGACATGGTGGGCACTCCAGCAGGAAGAACCTCAGACATAGCTCTCCATGAATTTGCAGTTCAGTGAGGAGACAGGTAGAACTTCCGGCATTTTCACCAGCAGAGTAGAATGACTAAGGCCACAATCCTGGGGTCACTGGGCCATTCTGAGCCTCAGTTCCCTCGTTGGGAGAATAGGATCAGTAATACCAAGTTCATAGGGCTGTGGTGCAGAGTGAATGAAAATGATGTACCCCCATGCTTTTCTATTTTGTTATCCTAATGGAATAGGGTCTTGTCTCTGTCCTATTTATCTTATCGGCCTTTTCAGAATTTCTATTTCTTCATCTGTCCATGGGGACAGGAAGATCTGACTTGGAAGGTAGTTGTGTGAATAACCTGAGTTAAGCGGTAGAGCTTCAGAGTTGGGCTAGACAACTGAGGGTTCACCCTCCCCTGCTCAGCATTATTGTGTATTCTGTATCCACCCACCAAGATTAGCCTGGGGTCCTGCAGGAGCAACCATAAACCCAAGAAGATAGGGAGATGGTCAGATGGGCTGGCTGAATGAGCTGACTAAATGCTTAGGAAAGAAAGGTTCCAGGCAGCACAACTTCAGAGGATTCAGTCAGGCTGTGGGGGAAGGGGGCGCGTTTCTGGGCAGCAGAGAGATCCCCCTCAGGCTTCCATCTGTGAACCTTAGTAATAAGCTAAGGATCTGAGCAAACCATGTCACAGGGTGGTGTCTGAATCAGTAAATACCCAACTAGACAGCTGCCATGCTGTTAGGAGCTCAGACCTAAATGTACCTCATATGGATGAAAATTTCCTTTATAAATTTCTTTTAATTTTGTTTTTTAAATAAATGAAAAAGATTTAAAACAACAACAAAAATGGCATACAGAGGTCAGTTGAGGAGAAATTTTTCAGCCTGCGGTTTGTTTCCAGTCGTCCTTGTAGCTTGGATGCAGACAACACTGACTGTGGGTTACCCTGTGGCCTGGGGTTGCCAAAGGCTGCTTCAGTTCTAGGTCTGCTTGGCAGGTTTTGCCATCCCTTTCAGTTAGGACATCCTACCCTGCCCCCATTCAGCTACAATTAGAGCACGCAGGCCTGTTCTGTGCTCCTGCCCACCAAGTCCAGCTTCCTTGACCTTGACCTTTTCCTTGCCAAAGGTCATGGTGTCTGTCTAGTCATCTAGGCCACTCTAGAGACCTTTCAACTTTTTTGTTTTGTTTTAGTTTGCTTTTTGAGGCAGGGTCTTACTGTGAAGCCCAGGCTAGACTTGAACTTGTGAACATCCTGCCTCAGCTTCCTGAGTGCCAGGATTATAAGCATGAACCACCATATCCAGCTTCGACTTTTATTTATTCCACATTTCCCAGGCAGAAACAATTATTGCTAGAGACAAAAGGCCAAGATCAATTGCAGGTCTGTGTCCCCTTCCTGAATCCACTGTGAAATAATGGATCATTTTTTAGAGATAAAAATTGAAAGTTTCATCCACAGTTCTACCTAAACAGAATGTGGAGATGCTGAATAGTATCACATAGGATACCCCTGAGGTACACTTTAATCTTTTTTTTTCTTTCCATGAATGTCCACAGCAAAAACTCCAGCAGTGAGCTCCTTCTGATCTTCAGACAGTTCTTGTTGACTGGGAGCCAAGTCATCAGCTTCTCATTTAAACAATGGTTGTGTTGTCCTAGTGCCCAAAGGTCTTAGCTGGACTGGAAGACTTAAGAGAGACACAGCAGATGCATGAAGGTTTCTACCCCTGGTGTCTTGGGGTAGAGGCTGCTTCATTTACCTCCCAAACTATGTTGCAGATATTTTAGGGTTGTTTTTGTTTGCACTTTGCCTGTGCTGGAATTTTCCCACCACGCTGACAGCAATAAAATTGGTACCATTTGCTAGATGTAGCTGATAGAGACTGTTGGTGGGACTGTAATGTACCCCTACTCACCCACTCTTTTTGGAGAAATTGCTTTTCTCTCTCTGATAGATTCTCTCTGAAGCTGCCAATCATAGACCTTCCAATCCCTGATGGGAGGGCATAAGATTTAAACCTACCGATTATATCAGCACATCTTTCTGGACACTGTGATTTGCCAGAGGAGAGAATATGTGACCCAAGATGGGCAAAGTCCTTCTCAGTAATATATATACATACATATACATATATATATATACACATATACATAGATATACATATATATACATATACATATATATATATATATACTTTTTTTTTTTGCGGTTCTGGGGTTTGAACTCAGGGCGTACACCTTGAGCCATTCCACCAGCCCCCTTTTTAGTGAAGGGTTTTTTCTAGATAGGGTCTCACAAACTATTTGCCCTGGCTGGCTTTGAATAGCAAGTCTCCTGATCTCTGCCTCCTGAGTAGCTAGGATTACAGGCGTGAGTCACTGGCAACCAGCTTTTCCCAGTAATTTTATGAGAAGATGGAGAAGTGGCTATTCTGATTTGTTGCTTGGAAATGAATGCAACCCAAAAAAGCCTAACAGAATTAAGCAGTAAGGAGAAATAGAAAAGAAAAAGAGAGTACTATCCAGATGGTGGTCATCTGTCCCTCTTAATAATTTGGTTACTTGAAACAAAAGAGATTCCTTTTAGTGTTAAATTTTTTGGAACTGGGTTTCTGTCACTTGCAATTGAAAGCAGTCTGCCTGAAAGATTCTGAGATAGTTGAAGGCCCATTAGTAGTAGTTGTTGGCATCCATATAAGTATCATTCCTACTTATGTATCCGTCCTTAGGGGTACATGCCCTAAGAAATATCTGATTCTATGTCTGCTGTTTAGAAGGAGGGTGTCTGTCCAAACCACCAACTTCCAGGGTTGTGGGTTTTTGGGTTTTTTTTTAATTTCCTTCTTTCTTCTCTTCCCTTCTTTTCTTTTTTGAGACAAGGTCCAGCTATGTTGCCCAGGCTGACCTCAAGCTCCTGGACTCAAGCAGTCTTTTTGCCCCAGCCTTCCAAGTAGCTGGGTCTACAGGTGCATTCCATCCTCCCAGCAGGCCTACCCTTTGGTTTTGCTGAAAAACCTTGACTTTAAGGATTGGGAATATAGCTCATTGGTACAGCACTTGCTTATTGTTGGCAAGACCCTGTATTTGATCCCCAGCATGCAAAAAAACAAAACAGCCAAACCAAAAAAAAAAAAAAAAAAAATCAAAACACCTCAACTTTGGGCAATCACTTCTTCAGACCTCAGTTACGATGACCAACCATCCTGATTTTCTAGGGACTGAGTAGTTTCCTGGGATCGTTGCCAAAACCAGAAGAGTTCTGGCAAACCAGGACAGTTGATTATATTAACCTAGCTCCATATCTATAAAAATGAGATTGGACTGGACGGGGATGGGAAGTTCTGCCAAATCCTGTACTCAGGCAGTCATTGACAATTGACCTTGAGTTTAGCTGTAGCTTCATAAATTTATGCAATCTGGCCAGCTATGCCAGTCAGAATTGGCAGGTATTTACCATCCTTAGTGTGAGCTTTTGAGAAACTGGATTTTTTTTGGGGGGGAGGGGAAGAGGGCGGTACTGGGGTTTGAGCTCCAGACTCAGAGCTTGCTAAATAGGTGCTCTACCACTTGAGCCACGCCTCCAGCCTGACTAACTGGAACTTTAAGGATCAAGAATTTATTGAGGGCCAACTTTGAATCAAGCAAGCTCTATCCCAAACCCCGTGGCAGACTTTCTCCTGAGCTGGCTAAATGATATCCCTAGAACTTGTGGCTCTTGTTTTTTTTTTTTTTTTTTTTTTGCATTTGATCGCACATTTGGGTAAATATATGGACTGACAAAAGGTTATACATATAATTTAGTTCGTTCTTCTTTAGAAACATTAAGTTCCTATTATGTGCTACTGTATCTGTATAAAGGTTCTCATGCTAACGCTATGAGTTTATGAATATTTTAGAAATTATGAGTTCGATGGTTAGCAGCCGAGTACTTGTCTAAGGCCTTAGGCTGCAGTCAGGGGAGCGGTGCGGAATCCTAAGGCCCATCTGATTCTTACAGCCACGATCTTTCCATCCTGATTTAGCTAGATTATTTGTGCTGCTTCCACCTTTAGTCTTAGATGTGCACAGCCCACACTGCTCATCACGCCTTTCTGTTGATGTGGGGATGCAAAGTCCCCAAGGACTTGGGTTTCCTTGCATGCTTGGGGAGTACAGAAGTTCTAGATCTCCCAGGAAGGACGGAAGAAAAGGCCCTCCGGCGCTGCTCCTGGTCGACAAGGGACCGGCGAATCCCCACGGGCAGTTGTACCCGGAGCCGCTCACGGACAGGCAAGGGGAAGGTGGCTGCGCTGCGGAAGAAGCTGCGTTCCCTGCAAGCCCGCCGCCCCGCATGCTGGCGGATCGCGCATGCGCGGCGCGGGCCGCGGAGTTGTGAATGGTACGTCTTGTTTGCTGGAGTTTGAGGCGGGCGGGCGCGCGAGACGGAGGGGTGGGGCCGGCGGGGGCGGGGCGGGAGGTTGAGCTAGGTGGGCGGCGAGAGGAAGTGGCGGCGGCGGCGGCCGTGGGCGGCGAGTGCTGGGTCTGCGCGGGCGGTAGGCAACGGCTGAGGCGGCGGCGGCGGGCGGCGGCGTGGGCTGGGCAAGAGCAGGCGGCTTCACCTCAAGACTCCCCGGAGCGGGAGCCCACGCGGGCGGGCGCCTGAAACAAAGAGAAGCGGGAGTCCGGGCGCCGCGAGTGGGCGGCCAGTCGGCTGCGCAGAGCCGGTTAGCGGGTGCCCGCGCTAGCGCCGACCCCGGCCGGCGCGGCCTCAGGGCGGGAAGATGCCGCGCGTTGTGCCCGACCAGAGAAGCAAGTTCGAGAACGAGGAGTTCTTCAGGAAGCTGAGCCGCGAGTGTGAGGTGAGGTGAGGCGGCCGGGACGGGCAGCGCGGAGGCCGCGGCGCGCTCCGAGTGGGCCCGCGCGGAGAAAAGTTTGGCCGGCGCGGTACCCGGGCACCCCGCGCGGGCGCACTCGCCGGGGGGCAATCTCGCCCGGGCAAGCCGTCTGCCCGCAGTCTCTGCTGGCCCTTATCGGGGCGGGCGGGCGGGCAGAGCCGCGGATTGCGCGCCTGATTTCGGCCGGTCTCTCTGCCTTGCAGATTAAGTACACGGGCTTCAGGGACCGGCCCCACGAGGAGCGCCAGACGCGCTTCCAGAACGCCTGTCGCGACGGCCGCTCGGAGATCGTAAGTCGGCGGGGCGGGCGCGGGGACCGAGGCGGGCGCGGGTCACTTGTTGCGCGGGGGCCGCGCGGCCCAGCAGGTTCCGGACGGCGTCGCGGACGCCGCGGCTCCCGGAACTGAGCGGGCGCCGTCTCACTTCCTACTCGGGATTCAAAAGGCGAAACCGGACGCTGGCGGGCCGGTCCTCGCGCGGACACGCGTGCCCCCTGGCCCGCCTCGGAGGCTCTGTGGCTCCATCGCGAGTGGCGCTCAATCCGAGCCCGAACTCAACGCGCAGAGGTCGCCGTGTAGGCCGTGACACGGGTCAGGGCCCCCGGGGTTTGTAGGAAGAATTGGGGCTTCATTGGAAAGTCAGCGATAGTTGGTTCCTTTATCAAAAGCTGGATTTGTTGGTGAAGCTGTCTCACTCCCGGTGGAGCTGAGAAAATAAATCCTTACTCCACTTAACAGTGCTACTAGTGGGGGGGGGGAGGCCGAAAAATTGTGCCCATTTTCTTAGAATGTTATGCTTTAGGAGGGTCTGAAAGAAACCATTATCGTCTCTTCTCTAACCTAAACATGCCCCTTATTTAAGTGATGTGGTTTCTAAAGAATTGAGTGGATCTATGAAAGGTAGATTTGATACCTCCTGTCCATCAAATCTTGATTGAGAAAAAAAAATCCTCGTGTCTTGTGCCTTTTACTTTGTGTTATTCAAGGTGCTAATAAGGAAGCAATGATAAAACCTACAGAAAATAGCTTTTTGTTGTTGTTTTAAAGGCGAAATATTTTATAATGAAATCCTATTTTCAACTCTGACTTGGACCTATCTTGTTAGCAGAGACTTGAAGCTAAGGTGCAGTTTGCTTTGAGGTCAATAGAAGACATTTTGGAAAATGTATTCCTCCTTCCTCTTTATAATCAGGTGGTTTTATTGAGATGTAATTCAAATACCACAGAATTCTCTGTTTTCATCACCAAAATCAGATAAATCTTAAAAGGATACTTAATATTTAAAATGAAGGCTTTGGGGAATTATATTACTGATAGTGAGACAGACAAAACAGGATAAATTTATTAGAAGCTCTAGAATATTGGGTTGTTAATGCATATTATGAAGGAAATTCTCGAGCCTTCAGCCCACCTCCAAGTTTCTTCAGTAATTGTAATATTTTATGTGATTGAAAGATATGAAGCAGATACTTTTTTGTCTTGGCACTGTGTGGTATACAAAAAGAATCATTCATTAGTTGGTGCAGTGATGGTATCATTCTTTTCCTGAGTTTTCTTTCTCAAAAGGTATACCTGATCAAAGGATTTCCTGGAGGTTATTGATATACAGTGTAAAAGATAAGAATACAGAGTATTTTTTTTAAGCTGAGGGATTTTTTTGGAAACCAAGTGAAGTAGCCAGTGGGGTGTTTTTTGTCAAGTCTGACTTTGCTGCACATAATTATGAATTGGCGATCTAGTTTAACCTACAATATATCTGAGTAGATATATATACTGTTGCTGTAATATTACAGCAGTCTTATAGGTTGCTGAATTTGTAATAAATTTTCAGGATGAATGAGACATTTTAGGCCCTTGTAAATATCTGATCCTACAAATCTTAATAAGTTCTGTTTGTTTTCTGACAGATATTAAAGGTTAAAGGAGGTAGATTTAGGTTTGCACTTAAGACGGCACATCTTTTTTTTGAGACGGTCTCCCTGTGCAGCTGAAGCTGGCCTAAAGCTCCAGTCTCTTACTCATCTTCTTTTGTGAAGTAATGTCACTACTTGTATTTGGGAGGGAATTTTCATATTTCCCTCTTTTTCTAATTTCCTCCTCTTTAATTCATTGTTAACCACGTTTAAATGATAAGATTCTTAGCTCCTAGAAGGTGGAGACCATATTAATTCTGACTTTATCTGTCTGGATACAGGTCATGATTCCTTTTGCATTAAAGGAACTTGATTATTTGATCTTAGAGGTCACATAAATGCCTAAAATTTATCTTAAGAGTTATGAACAGGCTGTGGTTTCTACCTCTTTAGTTGCGAAAAAGACATTATTTGTGTTTTGACAGCAACCAGCAACCATTTACGGTAAGAATATACATAATTTTTTTTTTTTTTGGCATTATTGAGGTTTGAATTCAGGGCGTCATGCTTGCTAAACAGGCACTTAACTGCTTGAGTCACACCTCCACCTCCCATAATTCTTAGTTACTCCTAACTTTTCCCCTGCTTCAGTTGCTTTTTTTCCCCCTCTTTTTGTTATGTTTTTGTGGTACTGAGGTTTGAAGTCAGGACCTCATGCTTGCTAGGCAGGCACACTACCACTTGAGTCACTCCATTAGCCCTCTCTTTATTTATACATTATTTATTTATTTGGTGGGACTGGGGCTTGAACTGAGGGCTTAAAGCGTGCGAAGCAGGCACTCTACTACTTGAGCCACACCTCCAGTCCATTTTGCTCTGGTTATTTTGGAAATGGAATCTTGGGAACTATTTGCTGGGCTGGCCTTGAACCTTGATCTTTCCTATCTCATCCTCCCAAGAAACTAGTATTACAGGTGTGAACCACTGGCGCCTGGATTCCTTTTATTTTGGAACTGTCCTTAACAGTGAAGTCGAAGTTAGTAAAGAACTTATTTTGAGGGTTGGGGTATTGTGGCTCAGGTCATACAGAATTTTCTCAACTCTTAGGTGTGTCTAGATACTACATTAAAAAAGATTTCTGGGTTGGGGATATATTTCAGTGGTAGAATATTTGCCTAGCATATGTGAGGCCCAAAGTTCAATCCCTTGCAAACACCACCCCCCCAACACACAAACACAAATTCATGAATGAATACCCTTGTCAAAATCCCTGAGGCTCACACCTGTAATCCTAGCTACTCAGGAGGGAGATGCCAAGAGGATCTAGGTTCCAAGCCAGTTGAGGGAAATAGTTCTGGAGAACTTAGCTTAAAAATACCCAAACAAAAAAGGCTGGCAGAGTGGCTCAAGTGGTAGAACGCCTGCCTAGCAAGCTTGAAGGCCTGAGTTCAAAACCCAGTACCCCAAAAAATCCTGAGGCATGTTTCTGTAGTACTTATCCAGTAGCAAGTCCTTTCATCTCCAGTGCCCCAAATCAGAATCCCATCTGCTCTGCTCTGCGGATTTCATTATCTGAGACTGAAAAAATTAGCTCTCTTATTGATCTCAAAGTTATTTCTCTTAAGCAAGGTGCATTGGCAACTGTCTGGGTTCCCTGCTACTAGGGAGGCTGAGAGAGGAGGATCACTTGAGGCCAGTGTAGGCAACATAGCAAGATCCTGTCTCAAAAAGACAAAGAGCTGGCAGAATGACTCAAGTGGTAAAGCACCTGCCTAGCAAGCATGAGGCCCTGAGTTCAAACCTCAGTGCCACCTAAAAAAAAAAAAGACAAGCAAAAGTTATTTCTCTTACGTTACTCATTAGAGTTTATATGGTATGTACTTGGTACTATTCTAAGCATTTTGCAAATACTAATTTGTAAGGAAACTCAGGTATGCCTCAGGTCATTCAGCCTAGGCAGTTTCCCTTCCAGTCTGCTTTTCAGTCAAACTAGTGTTAGTGGGTCTGTTGTGGATAAAACTTTGCTAGTTGTGCATGAAAAAGTTTTGCTTTTTCAGACTGATACAATTTAATATAGTTCGTTTTCTTTTCATAGAAACTATTTACTGTAAGAAAAGGGTATTCCAGTTGATGAGAGGAATGCCATTAAAGAAATCTAGGGATTTAGCTGTTAATTTGACAAAATTTACCTGTAGTACCAGTCAGAAATAGGAAGTGTATTTTTTTACCCCTAAAGAATGAACTAGGAGGACTGGCAGAGGAATGGCTCGATCTGTAAGCACTTGCCTTGCAAGCATGAAGCTCTTGAGTTCAAATCTCAGGACCACCAAAAAAAACTAGGAGGTGTGTCTCAAGTGGTAGACAGAGCACCTGCTTTATAAGTGCGAAGCCCTGAGTTCAAACTCCAGTATTACCAAAAAAAAAAAAAAAACCGAAACCAAAAGAATGAACCGATACAGGTGCTGGTTGGTTCATGCCTATAATTCTAGCTATTTGGGAGGCTGAGATTGAGAGTCAAAAGTTGGAGGCCAACCCTGGCAAAAAGTTAGGGAGTCCCCTTCTCAACCAATAGCTAGATGTGGTGGCACAAGCCTCGGAAAGTAGAGGCAGAAGGATCTTGAGTTCGAGGCCAGACTAAACTACCTAATATGAGACCCTGTCTGTACTAAAGAGAATGAACAGCTAACGGACAGGAGAGCGAGTGGCTTTAAACAAATTGCCCAAAATGTGAGAACCCTTTGCTTTCAGATGAAGACTGTTTGCAGGGGGGACATGACAGGACGGGACTGGGGCTTGAACTCAGGGCCTGCTTGCTAGGCAGGTACTCTTAACACTTGAGCCACTCTGGTAGCCCTTTTTTTGTGTTGGGTGTTTTCAAGATAGGGTTTCATGAACTATTTGCACAGGGCTGGCCTCAAACCTCTTTCCTCCTGATCTCTGCCTCCTCGTAGCTGGGATTATAGGTGTGGATCACTGGCACTAGCTGAAGACTACTTTTGATGCTTCTGAATTTAGTAAAATAAACCAAACAAGGTGGGTGTAGTGCCTCATGCTTGTGAGCCTAGCTACTTAGGAGGCTAAGATAGGATTGTAGTTTAAGGCCAGCCCAGCAAAAAGTTTGCTAGACCCCATTTCAACAGACAAGGCTGGGTTGGTGACATGTGCTTGTCATCCCAGCTACTGCAGGAAGTGTAAGATAGGATAAGGGTCCAGGGTAGCCTGGGCAAAAAAAAAAAAAAAAGACCCTATCTCAAAAATAACTAGAACAAGAAAGGGCTGGAGTCCTGGCTTAAGCTGTAGAGTGCCTGCCTCATAAGCAAGAAGCCCTGAGTTCAGACCCCAGTACTGCCAAAACAAATAAATAAACCAAACAAGTTTTCTGTTGCCAGTAAAGAAGATTTTACATTTAGATGGTGAACTATGCATTTTTTGTTGTTTTGGTGGACTGGGGTTTGAACCTCAGGGTTTCAAGTGATTTATATCTTTTGAGCCACACCTCCAGTCCATTTTGGTCTGGTTATTTTGGATGTGAGGTCTCAAAAACTATTTTCCTGGGCCTTCCTCCTGATCTCAGCCTCCCAGGTAACTAGGATTACAGACATGAGCCACCCACACCAGGCTGTATTTTTTTATTACTATTTTTTTTAAATAATACTTTTTATGACTGAGGATGTGGCTCAAGTGGTAGAACACTTGAGGCCTGAGTCCTTTCTTTCTGAATTTCTCTTGGAAAGAGGAGAAATGTGATTTCAATTTTTTAACATGAGGGAATATAGAGTTAAATTGCCCAGGGGCTACATAGAACAATATTTTACTAAATGGTTTTAGATTGATCTATTAGGCTATACCATCTACATTTTTTATAATTATTAGATGAATACTTAATATTTTTTATTATAATCTCAGTTCTTCTAAAGTAAATTTAAAATGTACTTTTTAAATTAAGTTTTTAGAAGTACTGTCACTTCTCATGTATAGTTGGTCAAGGAAGAAAAAATCTTTAGTGCATTTTTTAACCTGGGCTTCAAAACCCATGCTTAACAATGCACTTATGTACTGCATTTATGTGTCACACACCTTTCAGTGTTTCCTTGAGCAAAGGAAATCAAGAAAAATTAAAATATCTCATTTATACAACTTTGAATTGTGGCATGCTTTGAAATTCAAAATCTTTAGGTCATCAGTGATTTTTCACATTTAGAAGTTACAAGTTTTTAAATGCAAGGATAGTGGTTTCTGGTCAGACATTAGCAATGTGAGATCCTAACGTCAGCATAAAATGACCTGAAAGAAAGTATTGATTCCATGTCTGATTTTATATTTAAGCAGCCAATGGCAAATGTCCTTAAAATGGAATCAGATGTTTGTAACTTAATACTTAAGAAAAATGATGAGTACATGTTTTTTTTACTTTTAAGTATTCTCAGTGCTGCCTAGCTTAAGACATAAACTGATGTAAAAATAAATGACTGCCTGCATAATTTATGTAATGTCCCGCTCCTGATCCTGTTTGTATTGATTTTTCTAAAAGGCTTTTGTGGCCACAGGAACCAATCTGTCTCTCCAGTTTTTTCCGGCCAGCTGGCAGGGAGAACAGCGACAAATACCTAGCCGGGAGTATGTCGACTTAGAAAGAGAAGCAGGCAAGGTAGGAAACATTTCTTTGCAATTTAAACTACTGTGAATTGTTTTATTAAAAAGTATTTGATGACTTAGATTTTAATAAAGAGATTACAGGTCTGGTTACACAGGCATATGATAAATTTGTTTTTATTTCACATTATAAGGATATAATGCAATTTTTTTAAATGACTGTTAAATTTTTATGTCACTCCATTACTAATTTCATGTATGTAATAGTCATCATAGAAAGTTCTAGTCCATAAGGAAAGTAGTATGCTTTCCTATATTTAATATTCAAAACTTAATTCCTTTAAAAATGTTGATAGGAAATTTTTTGTGTTTACTAAAATATGTGAGACTATAGTGCTATAAAAAAATGAAAGAAAAATGAGAAAAGGTGATGTAGGCTTAAAAATAGTATTATTTAGAAATTGTTCATGGGTAGCTAATTCTGTTTATATAACAAATTTGATTTTAAAGAAAAATAATGTGAAAACTTTAACTTGGTCATAGTTTTTCTTTTGAGGAAAAGGTTCTGGAAATTCAAATTTTATGTTGGAAGTTTAGGATAAAATTACAAAAAATATATGTGGGCATGTTTAAGCTGAGAGCTTAATTAAAAATCTAAGTATCATTAAGTTTTATTTTGGAGAAATTTTAATTAATAGGGTCTTGGATTGTTTGATCCTTGAAAGTCAAGAAGTTGACTTCATTAAAAAAAATTTTAAAGAAAAAAAAATTGGACCCCATTTTATACTTAGTATTTGTTATCATACCTAATTTTATTAGCTTGCTAAATTACTTTTCTAAGTATCATCACGAATAACCTAACCTATCACTTATTTGCAAAGTGTAAGAAGTGTCTAAATATTGATTTAAATACTTTTCTGTTAGACTGTATTAGGAAAAGGATACCTATTCTTGTATATATACAGTGAAGAATTTTATGTTTAATTTTATAAAATTAGGTTTTGTAGGTAACAAGCCAACTAATCTTTGGATTGGAAGAAAGAAAAGATTGCGAGAGTTTTAAAATGGGTAATAATAAGCAAGTAATTTGCTTTCTTGCATATTAGTTTGTTTTAATTGGAAAATTAAAAGCAAATGTTGCAGATTTTACTGTTTAGTGACTCATATATAAGGGAAAACTTGGAAAGCCATTGTGGGGTTTTTGTCTGGTTTTGCTTGTGTGTGTGACTAAATGAAGAAATTATTTTTCTGTGTTTAAAACACCTCCTTAGAGCCAGGTGTGGTGGTACGTGCCTATAGTCCCAGGATTTAAGATGCTGAGGCAAAGGAATAGTTTGAACCCGGGAGTTCCAGGCCAGCCTAAATAACATGGCAAGATCCCATTTAAAAAAAAAAACAAAACAAAGCAAGAGCTGAGAATGTGGCTCAAGCAGCAGAGCACCTGCTTTGCAAGTATGAAGCACTGAGTTTAAAAAAAAAAAAAAAATGCCTTCCTCTTAGCTTGAATGCTACACTATTTTAAGATTTCAGTATTAAAGCTGGGCTCCCACCTGCAATCCTAGCTACTCAGGAGGATCATGATTCAAGTCAGCCCTGGCAAAAAGGCAGACCCTATCTCAAAAATACTCCCCCACAAAAAAGGGCTGGCAGAGTGGCGCGAGGATAGAGTGCCAGCCTAGCGAGTATGAGGCCCTGAGTTCAAACCATAGTACTGCAAAAAATAAATAAAAATTTCAGGATTGACCTCTCAATGTTATTAAAGTCTTTTAGTATTTAATAATAATAAATGAATTGTTAACGCTGCTATAATGTATATTTACTTGAGTTAATGATACCAGTTTACTAGCTTGGAGACGTTATACTTGGGCCTTAGATGCCATTGAGATGTGTTTGGTTATATGACTAACAATAACAAGCTTAGGTAGCTTATTCTAGCATTTAGAAGATATGTTTTCAAATCTATGAACATGAGTGATAAAACTTTTGTAAGCCATTAGAAAATTTTACATTTTGTTAATATTAGTTTTAGAAGTTTCTTTTTTAAAAAAAAGGGACAGCTACTCACCTCTGCCATTGTATCAAAGGAGCTAGTAAACTATGTAAACAAAAGTGACTGTTCCAAGAATGGTAATGCTGGCAGAAATCAGTATCTTTCCCTCAGGTGTAAATTTGTGTTTATGTATAGGTCGTGTGTTTCCCAAATACAGTTCTACCAATCCTTATGCAATACTTACAGAATCTAGAAGATAAAAAGCATTGTCAGGGTCTAGAGGCATAGTTTAAATGGTAGAATACTGGGAGTCCTTGGGTTCAATCCCCAGTACCACCAACGGGAAAAAAAGAAGCACTGTAAGGCAAAAAAAAAAAAAAAAAAAAAAACACCCATCTAGTACTGAAATGATTTTACAGAAAGGTAGTGTCCTGTGTTCTCTCCATAGGGTTTAGACTGTTGGGGAGGGTCTCTTATCTTTCTCCTTTTTTATAGTCTTTTTTTTGGGCCACACTGGGGTTTGAAACTCAGGATCTCATGCTTGCTAGGTTGGTATTCTACCCGTGGAACCACTCCACCAGCCCTTCTTTATTTATTTATTTTATTTTATAGTTTTTACATTTACTAACTTATATGCATTGTTTGGGCCAAACCCCTGCCCCCAGCCCTTTTTGTGTGTGTTGGATATTTTCGAACAAGTTCCTCAGGCTGGCTTCAGGCTATGACCTCCTGATCAGTATGGTCTGTCTTTTTTTTAAATAACCATTAGATTTTGTTTCTGTCTCCACAGGACTAGGACTAGAAGCAAAGAAAATTGAAGGAACTTCTCCAAATGTTAATCATTTGCCTCTATTCCTTATATCAGACTCTAAATGAGTGTCATCTTCCATATTCTTTCAACCTAGTTACCTCCCAAAGCAACTTATTTCTCATCACTGATCATTGAGCAGGCATATTTGCAATTTTAAGCAGGATGGTCTGGTAAAGAAGTTCATATTTGGGCAGAGACATGAAGGAAGTTAGGGAATTATGAACCATGCAGGTGTCTAGGGGGAAATAGGTTCCAGACAGAAAAAACCTGCCATTGTAAAGGCCCCAGGTGGGAGTATGCATTACATATAAGATAAACGGCAAGTAGGTCAGTGTGTCTGGAGAAGACTGGGAAAGGAAAGTAAAAAATGAGATCAAGGCAGTAATAAGGAGCCAGTTCATCATGATTGTGGCACACCACTATAAGACATTAATGACATGGACAGTGTTTTTTTGTTTGTTTGTTTTTAAATGGGGCTGGGGTTTGACTTTTTTTGGTGGCACTGTGTTTGAATTCAGGGCTTTATGCTCGCCAAGTAGGCACTCTGCTGCTCTAGCCCCTGGGACTGGGGTTTGAATCTTTTTTTTTTTTGGGGGGATGATGGGGTTTGAACTCAGGGCCTCATGCTTCCTAGGCAAGTGCTCTTAATTGCTTGAGCTACTCCACCAGCCCTGGGAGTGGGGTTTTCTTCACAAAGAAAAAATTTATGAAAGAATATAAATCATACTATAAATTACCAAATTTTAGGTTACATTAAAATGTTTTCTGTGAAAGTCACGTATATCTCAGTGTAGTATGATTGGTGCATAAGCATCTTCTCAGATGGCTCACAGAAGACTAGTTCAAACAGTGAATCACAGGAGTGTTTCTAGATGGAGCACAAAACTTAATGGCTGTGTAAAGGATGTTAATGGCATTTTCAGATGAAGCCCCTAGAAGAGAATAAATGGAATGGAATATCAGAGTCAAGTCTTGATTTAACTTCCCTGCAATTTTATTATTATTTTTATTATTTATTTATATATATATATTGTGTGTGTGTGTGTGTGTGTGTGTGTGTGTTTGTGTGTGTGTGTGTGTGTGTGTGTGTGTGTGGTACTAGGGTTTGAATGCAGGCCCTTGTGCTCTACCACTTGAGCCCTTATTGCTTTCCTTGTTTTCCAGTGTAGTCTTATATTTATGCCTGGGCTGGCCTAGACCATGATCTTCTGATCTGCACCTCCCAAATAGGTAGGATTACAGGTGTGAGCCATATCAGCCAGTTTACCTTCCCTGCAAATTTTTAAGAGCCCCTTTGGGAAAGTTTATGGGCAGAGTCATGAGAAGGTTGTGGAAAATCTGGGGTTTACACTGGAATTGGGGCACCTAGCACAGAGTGAACCACTTCACAGTGTGCTGAGATCTGGAGGAAGTATGATATAGAGTGAGCTGCTCTATATCTTCTGTTTAGCTCACCTTGACCTCCCTTCTTTTCACAATAGTGGATCAGTTCAGATCACCTCTGTGAGCAGAAATGAGTAACCTTAGCTAACCCTAGCATAGGGCAGGCTTATGTGGGCATTCTGCCTTAAGGTTAAGAAGGTAGATCTTGGTGATGACCATTCTCAGAATATCTAAACTGATTATCTTCTACATTTAATGCAGTGCCAGGATAATAGGTTCTCCATTTATTCGCTCCTGTGATGGTCCTCTGCTGGTTTTTTGTTGGTGTTGGTTTGTTTTTTTAATTGCAAATCTGTTTCTTGGCTTATGGTAAAGAAACAGATTTGCAGTTGGTTTGTGGGGAAAGGGTGCATAGAAGCAAAAAGTCTTAGCCTGTTTGAAATGTCTTTATTCTCATACTTAACTATAAATTTAGCATGTTCTGGAGTGTGATATTAGAAATTATTTTTATGAAGATGACCTTATTCCACTGCCTTGCTTCTAGTGTTGCTGTGGAGAATTTTTTCTTTTTTGGGGGGTAGGACTGGGGTTTGCACTCAGGGCTTTGTGCTTACAAAGCAGGCACTCTACTGCTTGAGCCATACCTCCTGTCCATTTTGCTTTTTTTTTTTTTGGGGGGGGGAGATGGGAGTTCTCTTGAACTATTTGCCAGGGCTGGCCTCAAACTGTGATCCTTCCAATCTCAGCCTCCCAAGTAATCAGGATTACAGGCTTGAGCCACCAGCGCCCTGCTGCTGTGGAGAATCTGTTTGGAAGATAGGAGATCTTCTGAAAGGTAGACCAAAAGCAAAAAGAGCTGGAGAACAAGGTA